TCATGTGACAATGATTATGGATTTTGTGTGTTAATTTGGAGGGGATTATGTGTTTGGTGGACTAACTTTTCCAACTGCCTCTTTACACTGGTGTGTTAAATGTGGTGCAATGAGAGAATTGTCAGGAACTGAAGACTCACACTGCAACTGGGTAAGTCCTGGTGACACCCAACATATGGCTGGGGCAGATCCCTCTCCAAAAGAACAAGAGTCCCCTTTCCCCTCTCTGCAGTTACAGGGTTGAAGTCCCAAAGTCCCTGTCACCTGAGGGTGGTACATCTGAGTATGGTATGGTGATACTTGATTCAATTTTTAGTACAGTGGTGGTTGAATCCAGCCTGGATATGATCATTCCGCAGGAGGTATGTGATTACAGGAAAACATTATTAGACTTAACTCTTTTGCTCTCACCTTACATACACACACACAGACACACATATATATATATTGGAGTTTATGTGTCTATGAAGTATTTTTTTTACTTTTCCCTTCATTCTGCCAGTGTCCTCCTTCCCTCCTGTGGTTCTGTCTGAGCTTTGCATCCTTCCTGGCACTTTTGAAATGGCATTAATTCCCTGCACAGCCTCCAGCCTCCTCCACCCTGCTTGGTGCCGTGTGAGACTCCGCATTAGCACAGCTCCTATAGGAAGCAGCTGATAAAAACATGGCATTCTTTGCCAGCAATAACTAAAACGGAAAAGGGAAGAAAATATTAGTCCCTAACTAGAATCAGTGGGAGACTTTCCAGCCCCTGGTGACCTTTCCATTAGATACTTGAACAGGAGACCTTTTCTATTTAAAAGTTTTAGGGAGGGATTTTGTGTCCAAAAGAAAAAAAATTCTGCCTTTCTTAATAAGCTTTCTGAAGCTTAGTTTGCATGTGCTGTGTCTGCAGAGAAGGTTTTCGGTGTTCTCTGGAATACAGGGCTGGGTTACACACGACACTGCCTCTCCACAGGCTCCCCTGGCATCCAGAGCCATGTTTGAGTCAGGATGCTGTGCAAAGTGCCCTTTTGAAATCAATAGTGCACCCACTTCATTAATTTTTAACAGACTGAATAAACATAAGAGGGACTGGAACTGTGGCCAAAACTATTTGCAACATAATGAAAGCTGCTATCTGGCAGAGTTTAAAAATAAAGGATAGATGGGAAAAGTAATGATCTCCTCTGTGCATCTTCCTGCTGAGCCTTCAGCTGCAAGCCTGCCTGGCTCTCCAGCGTCCTCATTTGCTTTGGGAAGTAGAGCCTGTTTTTCCACGTGTGCATAGCAGGGAACACCAGAAAGGCTTTGCCTTGAGCAGGGTTTGCAGGATCCTTCCTTAGAGCAAAACTTTTAAGTCGTCGGAGGGGACAGGTTTTTATTTTTTGATGTTGCGTGAAAATCCATCAGGAGACCCTCGTCTGTTGGGTCCTGCCCATGAGATGGTGGGAGAGGACCGTGCTTTTTTTTCAGTAAGGACACCTGTGGACTGTTGAAGAGCAAAGCCCTGCTGGTTTCAGCTTTCTCTGCTGAGGTGGGGCAGCAGTGGGCAGTTTGGCTGGGGGGTGTGTTGTTTTCCTTAACAGGGTAAAACCATTTGGATGCAACCCTGCAAAGACTCGGAGAACCCGTGCATGGGAGCACAACCTATGCAGTTACCTAGAAAAAGTGTGTTAATTTAGTGGAACAGCTGCTTAGGTCTCTGGCTGAGAAAAACGAACCCAAGAAAATATTACTCACTAGGACTCTACCCTGATTAAGCCTTTTTTCCTCCTCTGAGCAGAAATTACTGAAAACACTGTACTTGCCAAAGGAGCTGGTGCCAGAAATGGTTTGTTCAACATTGACATTTCTGTCAACATTCAACTTGCAGGAACCATAAGAAGGAAAAAAATATAATACAAACACACACACAAAAAATATTCAGCATCCACCTGGCACCTGGGAACACTTCATAGACAAGAAAGGATCCAGAGGCATGGGTGAGATTCAGTTGCAGCAAGAGGACCTGTGGCTTTAGCAAGAGCAGTTACCACAGAGAGCAGGTCACTTTTGGGCATTGTTTCTCCCAGGGAATGGATCTCCCTCCCAGCTGCTGACAGCTGGGCAGGCTCGAAGAGGATGGATTATAACACAGCTCATGACACACCTTCATCTCAGGGAAAGCAACCTCTCTGTAAGCAAAAAATTACTCTCTATGTCCAGGAGGACATGAGGAGTGTGACTGCATCAGGCCAGTGGTGTCCTGGGTTGGCAGGTACTTTGCAAATAAAAGAGAAGGAGTATAATTTTTGTAATACAAAGCCAGATATATTCAAGACAGCACACACTGAAGCTTTTCCTAATACTTGCAAGTCCTCTTTCCTAGGTGTCACTGGAGAGTGAGTGCCACACAAGTGACAGCACTGATACAGCAGAGGACTCTCTGTAATCCCTTGAGCTACACGAATCACTGCGTTTTTTATTTTTTTTTCAATTGAAATATTTTTCCAAACAAAACATGTTTCATAAGTATTTAGTATTTAATTTTAGATTTTATAAGATGATTCCAAATAAGTTAAATATTTCAACTTAAATTTTTCAAGTCCATGGTCAGATATGTTAGTGAATTTATTGAATTTTTTAAAAAGTGTAAATTGAGTAAATCTTAAAAAACATTTCTGAACAAATCACAATTTTATTGAAATTTTCTCTAGGCTTGTCAGCTGAATCACTTCCAAATTCCTGACCTGAAATGACTTCTTTTGGGTTCCCCCCCTTCCTCCCCCAGCTCATTTGAGTATACAATCTTCTGGCACAAAGTATAAATAATTTTTCTTTTCAAGTGTAAGGACCCTGGCTGTTCCTGCCTCCCATCCTTCTGTTGGCTGTTGGTGTTTGGAGCCCAGCCGCCTTGTTCTCGTGCAACAAAAAATGTAGTTTTGTAGTAATCTCTGCAGTGGTAGTGATGTTTTCATCTATAATTAGCTCTCGGAGATGGGAATGTGTTAAACTGGCAGTTTCTTCTTCACAAATCTCCCACACAGGCAGAAAAAGCTCTTTTCGCTTGTCTTTTAATGCACCCTTCTGACAAACTGGAGTCCAAGCATGCTTTTTTAGAGGGAGTATGTTAACCACAGAGTGCAATCCAACCATACAACCAGAGATGTACATACTCTGTCTGGGGGATGGTGGCAAGTCAGCCAGAGCAACTAGAAAGAGCCTTCTCTGAGAGATGGGGAAGAGGCAGAACAGAGGAGATTGCTTCTTTGCCCTGAAACTTGCCGCTCGCTTTTTTCCTCCTTTCAGTTGCATGAGTTGATCAAATAGAATCATATTCTCTCCACATATTCCACACTTAACCTCTTAAAACTACAATGCTGCTAGTAAGATAGAAATGTACAACTGCTGTTGGGCTGGTATGTGAGATCAGGTGAGCGGAAGGAAAGCAGGATTTTGCAAACTGGAGAGGACGAGGATGGAATGTATCAGTGCTGCAAGTGGTTAGAGAGCTGCCAAGAAGTAGAAATACAGGCCCTTTTTCTGGAAGCTGCTGTTCCCCTGATATAACCCAGCCTCTCCAGTTTGACCTAAACTGATGATATTGGAGCAATAAATGATAAGTCCTGAACTTCATACAAAGTTCACGCTGCTGCCTGTGTGGTACGATCATGAAGTCAGTGGGAGCTTTTGTGATTTATGTTGGCATAGTTCATGCCAGGATTTCAGTCCTGCACACAAGCAGGCTCTTAGCTGAAATATTTAGTTGGGATGCTCAGCCTCTGAAATCAGCGGAGGGACAGGGACACTTCTGGGGGCGATTTGGACTTCAGTGTGCTGGCTCTCTGGAGCTGTCTCTTTTCCTTGGCTGCAGATCCTGCCTCCAGCTTTCTGGTAACCCAAGTCTACAGGGACGGCAGCAGCCTTTGCCTTGTTTTTAAGCTCTTTCAATAGAGATTTGGGGCCTCAGTGACAAGTGATCTGTGGATAGCAGTAAATTCAGGAGAGAGCTGGCTGGTCAGACAGGTGTCCTATCTACTCCACCATCTTCTTTTCTCCAACTTTTGACCTTTTTGGAGTCAGTGCTTGTGTTTTGGTCCCAGGGGAAGCAGAGAACTCACAACACCTTCAGCTTCCCAGAGAAAGGCCTCTTTCTGTTGAGCATATCTGCTGGCTCCTCTTAGCTTTTCTGTCTTCAGCAGCTTAATACAAGGTACGATAAAGCCTCGTGTGCCAAGTTGTCTCTCCATTGATTCCTTACTGCATCCTTCCTCTGATACTGAACTAGGGAACTGCATTCTTGGGTTCAGGAGGAATGAGGGGCTGCCTGCAGAGTAACACCAGTGTTGCCACAGTGAGTTGTGTCAGCTGAGGTGCAGCCTTTGGATTTTTACAGAAGACATAATTTCTTAGAAGTTGCCCCAAACTCAATGTCAGATGTAACCTTACCCCTCAACAACATCACTGCAAATTCCAAATGCCATGTGTTTAAGACAAAAGCTGTATTATTTCAAAGGAGCTAATTTACTTCCTTATATTTGTCCAAGGATGATTGAGCAGGAGAGTGCTTGCAAGAGGAACTGGGCAGAGAGGTGGGTTTGAAGGGTTTGTTTGTTTAAAATGAAGCTTCTGGTGGGTTAAGAGTGATGCAGTGAGAATATTGCCATGTCCAGGATGCAAACAGCACCAAAGCTGAGCAGCCCTTCCAACCACAACCAGTGTTTTCTCGTGCTGATGTAGACTCTGACTTCACACCACTGAGCGGGAACTTGGCCATCCAACAGAGTTCGAACCAGGCAAACTCAGACACTGCAGAAAGTTATGTCAAAGAGGACTTTGACATAAGTCAAAGATCAGGACTTTGACATAAGAAGATCAGGACTTGGTGTCTAAGAACTGGGTCACAACAACTAGGTGATAACTTGGGACTCTGTCAGTGCATGTTGTGAAACTTGGTGTTTAAGAGGAAGTGATCTAGAGGAGGAGGGCAAAAAACCAGAAGAGCCCCAAACAAATCTGCTGACGAAAACATGCGCGCTGCCCCTCGTACATGGAGTTGGGAGTAACATCAGAGTGCAGCAGGACATCCACACAGAAGGAGATCTTCCAGGATGGTAAGAACATTTGCCATCATCTTGAGAGAGCTGGGGTTAGACATGGAGAGATAAACGCACCTTGTTCATCTGGGGAGCTTCAAACAGCTCCTGTGGAGGATTTTGTGTAGTGAAAAAGCGCATCCTTGTGTTTAAAATCCAAAATTTCATACAGTGTGTTACTGGTGGAGAAAAGAAGTATGAAAAGTTATTTTGGGGGAAGGGAGAAAGCAGGCTTAATGTTATAAACAGCAATCTCCTGTGTATACTCAGCAGCCTGGTATTAGCTGGTGTTCCAGCCTGTGAAGCAATGCTAAGTAGCATTTGTATTTATTACTCTTGGATGAACTTCAGTCATTGAAATTGGCAGCTGGTAAAGCCCTGAAAGCTTCAAGGGAGCCATAGTTAATTGCTGACCAACTACAATATTATTCTTAAGAATTCTGTCTGAATCTCTGATGTTTTCCTTCTTGAAAATCAGACTGCCTATTTTAGTGTAGTTCTCATGACTTCTGTACAGCAGGTGGGACTCTAACCTATCACCAGTCAAAGACAGGGTCAAGAAGGGCTTTGTTTGAACCAAATGATAGATGATTCTATGACAGCACGTATAAGATCTGTTCACTTTCATATTTTAAGAAAAATGCTGCTATTTTAAACCATCTTGTAACTGTTGCTGAAAAAGAGAACTGAAACAAGTTTCTGGTAAGCTCTATCCTCCTGCGGTCATCACATGTCTGTAAGTGTGCTGACAGCTGCAGTTCCTTACCAAGACACTGCCTGGGTCACCAAATGTGACTTTGGGGGCCAGAGGGACAAGGTGTCACCTCTCAGCTCTGGTTCTGTGCCGAGAAGCACATGCAGTAGCTGTTTGTTCCTGGCCAGCCCAGCTGACTGGGACAGCTGTGCCAAAGCCACGAGCTGTGGAGTGTGACCTGCAGCCTCAGTGGGCTCTCCTGGTCCAGGCTGAAGGGCAGCTGCTACTGTTTGTCAGCTGCCTTTCTCCTCCTCCTTTAAAATCCCTTTGCCTCAGTTTCCTACCCAACTCTTTAGGATCTTCTCTCTTGCTCTCTCTTCCCTTTCTTCCCACTAAGTTTTCTGGGTTGGTATGTGACCACTTTCTCTGAGGGTGGGGATTGATATGTGTTGCTGTCACACAGCTCTCTCTGCATGGTGTGCTATATGCCCCCCCAGTCTGCTTGGACTGTCAGCTCTCTGGGGTAAGACATTGGGTCTTCATACTGTGCTTAAAACATCAACTGGGATCTCGGGGGCATGGGGACCTGACATTAACCAGGGAATGGCCAAGTGTCCTTCACTGCTGGCAGCCACCCCATTTCTCTGGGGCTGGGAGAACGGATGTTTACTTGCCAGCATTTATAACTATTTCTAGTGTAAAAGCTTGCAGCTGAACCTGGGGGCAGCAAAAGGAAGTGACAGTGAAAATTGTGAGTAAAATTGCCTTGGGAGGTGGACACTGCTATAGTGATTACAGATGATAGCAACAAACAGACCCTGAAATGGAAACATAGCTTTCCTCTCTGCAGCTCTAGTATGCTTTTAAGCATGAGTGTTTGTACATTTTCTTCCGTCTCTACCTTTCCCATCTTTGTCATTCTTTCTCATCTGCTCTTTTCACATCCCTCTCTGCATTTCCCAAGTTACTGTTTCAGACTCACCTCCCTTCTCTTCCAAGACATCCTCCACCCTTTTGCTTCAGCTCCACCAGTTCTTGTGAGTTGGGTACCACAAGAAGCCTTTGGGGCTGTATCTGTACTGTGTCCAACTCCTGCCTGGTCCATGCAGTCACAGCATCCGTACAGAAAGATGGAGTGGGCAGGAGCTGGATGCAGCATGAATGTGTATGGCCATGCTGCCTTACTGGTGGGGCAGGGCAGACACCATAAGCCCATCCAGTTCAGGTGACAGTAGCTGTGAACATATGGCAAGATGGATGGGACAAGTCTGGCAGGATCCTTCCTACCTAAAGCTTGAGAGTGACCACCCACAGAGCAACTGCGTATCCGATACCATCCTCCAGGATACAAACACCCAGTGGCTCAGGGGTTGGAAGTGGTAATTTGGGGACTGGGCAGGTGGTGATATCATCTGGTAGCACTTTCTGAAATCTACCACATCCCAGGATGTGCTTCTTGCCTCTGAGCACGAAAAATGACAGCTGACTCCTATGGGGTAAATTCACCTCTGCCAATGCAGGGATGATGAGTGACCCACTGGGCATCTGTCAAGTTTTTGAGAAGGCAAAACAGGCAAGTGCCAACTCCCCTTGCCTGACCATCTGCTATGAATTCCGGCATGTTTTGGTAGTTGCTCTTACAGTTGCCTCTACTGGTGGTAACACAAGATTGGAGCAATATTGCCTGAGGAGGAAAAGAAGACAACTTATTTTCTAGTCATGGCTGCAACAGGGCAGAGGGGGAATTTTTATTTCAGCCTCGTCCCTGTCCTCTTAACAGACTCCCTTCTGGAAGAGACACTGGCATTGAAGGCAACTCACAGGCACAGGAAGAGAGCAGGAGCCTGAGTCAGACGAGGATGACACTGATGCTGTACACTATCACCCACAGCTTCTGCACTTTAATTACCGCTTGTTGGCAAATATGTTCACTTGTAACAGGACAAAAGTGGGTGTTGAAGGATGGCTGGAAGAGGCAGCGATACAGTTGTTTACACATCAATTACTGCAGGGATTTTTGTGTGTAGACAGCACCAGGGAAAAACTGCAGGGACCTGTCTCTCTCTCTCACTTTGGAATCTGTTAATGTCACTCAAGATCCATATAATACAGGGAGGATGTTGCACAGATCTGTACTTAAATTTCAGAGCACTATATAAAGCAATGGCAGTAACCTGCATTTTTTTGTCTGTGACTGGCTGTACACAAATGTCATAAAGCTTTATTTTTCCCCTTGCATACATTTCTGTTTTTCAGATTGTGAAAAAGGCATTAAAAACATCCCTGAGGTTTAATGAGTCCTCCAACATGAAATTAGGCGTGAACAATCAAAAAGACATCAAAACGGTAATTATGGGGATATACTACATTTGCTTACAAGAGCTGAGATTACATTTCTGAAAAGAAATAACAGATTAAGAGGAATGATTTTATTGCCCATTTTAGAAATCCATGTAGGTTTCAATCCTATTTGTAAACAAGTGAGTGACAAAACCCTCATTGATTTATCTGGTAGACTGATCAAACCTTGCCGAGAGAGAGTAATGTGGAGCTAAATCCTGCAGCTCTGTCTGGCTCAGGAAGTAAACCACGCTCATACAAAGAGCTTCACTTCCACCATTAACATAGCATTTATTAATTTATTCATTTATTCATTTATTCAGCATGCCTGGAGCACCTGGACATCACAGTGCGTAGCATGGTGACAGCCAGGATGTGACTTCAAAATAGATTTCTTACCTTAGGAATGTCTTCTAAAACCTGGGCAATGTTTAAGTCTTGCCAGTGTGTTCATGGGATGAAATGCAGAACTGTCAAAAATTGGTGGGTTTGGGTTTTTTTGCCCTTGATGAGATGGAGGACAAGGCAGAGGGCAAAATTTTAAGTAGATAGTTTTAAAATGTTTTTCTCATTCAAGTCACTGCCTGAAATCAATGGCAGCACTGTAGGTTATGAGAAAAGCAGAGAAAATTAAAAGAAGATTTATCCGCATAGAAATCAAAATAGAAACTTTCAGAGGCCACCGGTTCCTGTGTGGTTTTTCCCATGTGGCCTTCTGGGAGCTCAGATTTATGGCTACAGCCTCACAACCACCCCAGACTTGGTTCTCCTGCCTAGAAGTTCAAAAGCTCAGCTCTGAAGTGCACATTGCCTATCACAGGCTGGGGGATGTTCCCAGCTCCCAAGAATTGCCACAGGGAGCCAGACATCATAATTGTTGGGGGGAAATGGATCTGCACTGGTGGTTGTCTTTTCCTCCTCAGTATAGGGCAGCATTTAGAGCCTGGTGCTATACTTTCCAGCAAGTGAGTGGCTGGATTCCAGACCTGGATATGCAGTGTAGCCAGGGTATTTTTTTTTTAATCCACAATCAGGAAAAAACCCCTGAAAGTACAGCAAAAGGGAAATGAAGCTAACTCACAACACTAGAATGACAAGGGAATACTGTTGACATGGATAAATGAGATTTCTATAGTTTCACTTAAGTGAGTTTAAGTTAGAAGTCAAAAGCAGAACATGTTCAGAAACCACAAAACTTCCCTCTGCTTGTGACCTGATTTTTCTCCCCTGACTTCATGAACTTTCTCTTTATGGTAGTGGTGGGCTTGATCCCACAGGTAATCTTGTGTTAGGGATTTCCTTGTTTTGATTTTGGTAGAAATTTTGTTGAACATCCACTGGTCCTGTGCTAAAATAAAACTAATCAATGTCAAACTAATCAAAGGTTTAGGAAAAAAAAAGGGGGTTGATATGTTGGCACAGAAAAAAATAAATCAAAACTAAGCAACCCTCACCTAGTTTGTGGTCATAGAATCACAGAACAGTATGAGTTGGAAGGGACCTTTTAAAGGTCATCTAGTCCAACCCTCCTCCAATGAGCAGGGACATCAACTAGATCGGGTTTCTCAAAGTCCTATCCAAGCTGACCTTGAACAAGTGGTCCTCACTTTCAGTGGTGCATCTAAGAACACTGGCAGTAGCTGAAAGCAGAACTACTATTCAAAGATTGTGATTTATTCACCTGAAGAGGTAGTCATCCATTCACCGGCGTATCAGTGACTTGGTGATCACTTAAATCTTCTCCTGTATGGGTTCTGTTCTAGTTTCAAATCTTAGGGGCAATTTTGATGCTTGGCGTTGTTGTCGCGATGACTGTTTACTTCCTGAGAGTGGACAGCACAATTGATCCTAATGGAGAAGAAACAGTTGTCAGCATTTACAAAGAGCTGGAGGAGGAAGAAGGACTCTACGGAGATCTCCCAAGAACCACAATAGCTGAGGAGGACACCATTAAATCCAATGACTCCTGCAGGTGAGTCAGGTTTGATGGCATGTGGAGAAGCAGTCACCAGGTGGAGAACTGGTTACAATACTGATAATTTCAGTATGCAATTTGTTCTCTTCCTGTTGTATTATAAGTTGATAAAGTAACATTAATTTGGGAAGAGTGTGGCTGTTGTTTAGGCACTGGGTAATTAGTAGTTGCCTGCTATGAGAAGCAGTAGGGGCAGTATCAGAGCTCCACTCCCAGTCCTGTGCTTGTATGTTCAGCACAGCTCTGTTGCTCCTGTGCCACCTCCAGCCACCCTCCCTTTGTGACAATGGTGGGAGGCAGCAAGGAGACCAGCTGGCAAATCAACCTCTGCTGGTCTCACCTCCTCTCAGAGGCTGGAATGGCAGGAGCTGTCTGCCCTGCGAGAGGGTGGAGAGGGTATTGAAGTGACAGACAGCCCCACAAGGTTACTTTTCTCCTCATCTTAAGGACGGTAAAACGAAAAGCTTGGAACAGCTACTGAGAAGTCATTCTGCAGCATGTACAGTCTAAGCCTGGCTATAAAAACTAGGAATAGAGAGTACTCCCAGCTTGTTTATCCAGCTCAGCTTATTTGATTTTGAGGTTGACTTCTGAAATGGCCAATTGTATGGCCTGACAGGTGTCCTGCTTGGGTCACTGTCTCTTGCTTCATAATGTCCAATTGCCATTGCAGCTTTGACCTGGTGGAAAATGTTCCTTATGACTTACCCTTTGAGATAAATAGCACTGCAGCCAAACCCTTGTATCAAGCTTGGATGAGGTTGCTTGATCTAGCCCAGGAAAAAATTCATGTGGCTTCTTACTATTGGTCTCTTACCGGGAAGGATATCAGTGTCAATGACTCATCTTCCAAGCAGGTAAGATAAAATCAAGCACATCTGTGGTTGTATTTCTTGTGTACATTTGGCAGATTGGCTGTGAAGTCTGTCTCTCAGGGACATTGCTTGACTCTTCCTGCAAACCCAGGAAAGTTTTCCATGCCGGTCTGAAGCAACACTCCAGCCTTCCTTCTTCAGTAAAGTTACACTCCATCTGGGCTCTGTCCATGGCTCTGAGTACTTTTATGCTGTATTTTAAGAGCAAGCAGAGATCAGCCTCAAACCCACACTTGCTTACCCTGTGGATGGTCCACCTGTGTTAGGGGCTGCCAGTGGCAGAGCTGAGAAGCCCACAGGATCCCATGTACACAAGTGAGTGTGCCAGTTCCCACTGGTTAGTTGGAAGGGTCAGGAAGCAAAGTCTGCTGGACTTTTGACTGCTTCAGAGGCTGCTTCTCTCACAGCACCTGCATCTGCCCATTGTGCAGCTGTCCCTGACTCCTGCCATTGGACAGCACCTAAGGAGGTTCATTCTACTTCGCAGGGCTGTCCTCCTGGGCACCCTGAGTGACCAGGCTTCCTGTGGGGCCTCTCTGACTCTACTACCAGAAATAAATGACAGAGGCCACGGCCCAGACTCACCTTGCAACTGTCCATCATGCTTAATTTTCCCTTGGCTCCACTTTGGCCTGTGGCAGCTAGCAACCTCCCAGGCAATCCTGAGCAGGGTCTGGGGGACTGTTCTGAAAATAGAAAGGATAAGACCACCCTGTTTCAGGCAGGTATGGAGCTGAGCTGTGTTGGGAATCGTGTTGTTTGCTGATGGACCAGCTGCTGGGTTGGTTATTACTGTGGCCTCAGCCTCTGCCTCCCTCCTGGCACACCTTCCTCACTGTCCATATGGACTCTCTGGGACTGCTCTTCTTGTCTTCCTCCCCAGGTATCTCTGGTGGTATAAAATGAGTCACTTACTCCACATGAGAAGAAGTGAAAGTGACAGACATAAGATCGAGCCCCGTCTCTGCTCAGGGACAGCTCAGTGTAGGACAGTCTCTGTCAACTTTATCCTCAGGGAGAGATGACCCCAGGTATCTGTTGAGCATCAGGATCTAGCAGTTGATCTGCACTGGGACATTAATCTTTGAAATCTGGGATGTTTGTGGTTATAGTTTTAAACATTATATCTAATAGCATTAAATGACAGAAAACAAACTTTGATTCATACGTTGGATCAGAATCTTTGTTCCCTTTTTTCTTTACTTGAAACACTCCTGAAATAGGTGAAATTTCTGGCCTTCCTTGCCTTGGGGTTCTTCAAAGGAAGTGCCCATCAGTAACACTGTACTTACATATATCTTACTAAATGTTTTATAACAAAATATAAAAAATAACAATGTACTACACAGGGTGAAGATATTCTGAAGAGGTTTGAGAGATTACTCGCAGAGAATGTCTCTGTGTATGTTGCAGCAAGTGTGCCAACTTTGGCTACAAAGTCAACAGACCTTGAACTTTTAGAGGAAAAAGGTAATTATTTCCCTTCAGTGACACACTCAGAACTTCAGCACTGCAAAAAGACACGTGAGGGAAACTGGTCTGCAGGGCCTGTCCCATCATGGTGCTTACACAGGTTCACAGGATAAGCACTATCTGTTTACTAGTTCATGGTTTCTTTGTATGTTGTCACACCCTTAAGGATTTTTCTGAAAGTTCACGTTTTGCATATTTTTTTCAAATCACTGTGTTCTCAGGAATGAGAGCCTGTGAATTTTGGTAGTTATTACTGGCTGCAAGAGTTAGATATGCAGACATGTTCTGGCTGTTGAGGAACCATCTCCATGCTTTATCTGAACTCTTTTTTCCCCCCTCCCAATTTTTCTTCAGGGGCTCATGTGAAAAAAATTGATTTTGGACATTTGACAGGAGGAGTGTTGCATAGCAAATTCTGGATAGTAGACATGAAACACATATATATTGGTAGTGCAAACATGGACTGGAGGTCTTTATCTCAGGTAAGCTCTGCTGCTGCATATTCAAAAATCTGGGGGAAAATTCGTGTTCTAGCACACAACAGAGAAAAATCATAATGATATTAAATATTGACTGAGTGGAAGGAGCAGCAAAGAAACCCCTGGAGATGGCTCCTTCTGGGTCTGTGACATATCTTGCTCTCTTTGCAGGTGAAGGAGTTTGGTGCTGTGATATACAACTGCAGCTGCTTGGCCAAAGACCTCTGGAAAACATTTAGTACTTACTGGGATCTTGGATATGCTAATGCTACCATCCCATTCCCTTGGCCTCTTAATTATTCTACCCACATTAACAACCGTCGGCCTCTGGAAGTAGAATTTAATGGAATCTTGACAAAAGCCTATTTTTCTGTAAGTATGTTTGAAAATAAAATAATAGACTGTAAACTATGTTTAAGGAATGGTCAGAAAAGTTTCTTCAGCATTCCTCAGTTACTTGTGTTCCAGTTGGATAATAATTTTTTCATCAGGTTTCTCTGGACCTACTCAAAGAATAAGGATCGACCGAGCATCAGCTGTCAGGTACTATGGCAGGAACAGTGTGCAGGTCTCTTTTAATCACCCCTTGGCTCAATAAATCAATAAATATCTCACCCATCAGGACATGGAAGGCATGAGGAATGATAGTAGTCCACCTCAAGTGTTTTGTGCTATTTTAATGAAAACTGGACAGATCTGAATATAAATGAGTCACAGTCTGACCAAGGAAAAAAACCAAAAACACTTAAATCACTGATCCGTGTGTTTTCTTCTTTACAGGCTTCTCCTCCAGCATTTTGTCCAAAAGGTCGCACCCATGACCTCTATTCTATAATCAGTATTATCAGTCAGGCACAGAAGTTTGTGTACGTTTCTGTTATGGAATATTTTCCCACCAGCCGTTTTACTCATCCAAGAAGGTACAATTTTAACCTTGAGCGAATAAGTTGACTTGAACTATTTAAGGGAAAAATATACTATTGTCCCCTTTCTGCAATGAAAACATTCAGAGTGGAGAGAACTGAGGCTTTGCTCTGCACTTACAACTGTCCCGTGGACTGTGCCTTCCAGGTACCAAGGGACAGGATGAGGGAAACGGCCTCAAGTTGTGCCAGGGGGGTTTTAGACTAGATATTAGGAAAAAAAATTTCACAGAAAGGGTTGTCAAGCATTAGACACCCAGGGAAGTGGTGGAGTCACCATCTCTGGAAGTGTTCAAAATAGGTATGCACATGGCACTTGAGTACAAGTTTTAGTGGTGAACACGGTGGTGCTGCTGGGTTGACAGTTAGACTTGATGATCCTAAAGGTTTTTTCCTAATTTAATGATTCTGGGATTCTATGATTCTAATACTGATGCTACAGGAAGGATGGTATCCAATACTGCCCATGTGCTTTGCTAGTGTTTTAAAGCAGCCTCCTGTATTCTTCACACGGCAAGAAAACTGTGAAGTGCCAGACTAGGGACAGTCAGGTACATCTTCCTTCAAAGTTCAACAGAGGAGCTTCATGAGAGAGTTCAACAGAGCAGAGAGAGGAAAGGGAATACGAGAGATCTATATCTGACGTCAGACTTTTCAGAGAAAATATTGCTTTGGTCTCCTTTTCTGCTCCTTTTTTTCTTCTTTTCTGTCCTTTACTTCTGAGGAGTCTTGACTTCCAGCTCTGCTGCCTGTTTGATGTATTTGACCCATAGTTTAGAGAATGGTAATTAGCTGTCCTTGCTGACCTCTGCAATGAGAGCTGAAACAGTCTCTAAAAGAAAATTCTGTGGTGATTTTTTGGGGGTGTGCTGTTTTTTTTCTTTCTAATAATTCCATCTAAGGACATCCAAGTTCTGGATATGAACAGCAGCATGCTCTCAGAGAGAGGGTGGTAGTGGTGATCTGGAGTAATCATAGAATGGTTTGGGTTAAAGATCATCTAGTTCCTCCCCCCACCCCACCATGGGCAGGGACACCTTCCACTAGATCAGGTTGCTCAAAGCCCCACCTAACCTGGCCTTGAGCGTGCGTGTGGTGAACCACTGCCACGGTCCCGGTGGGCTGCCCAAGGTCACAGCAGAATTATACAGACTGCACATCAACTCAAATCTGAGTAACACAGAAAGTTAGTCAGTCATGGGGCAGCACTAAGACTCCAAATCTTCTTAGATATGCTTGAATTAGGACTTTTACATGCAACCAAGTGCTCTGAATTATCTGCTTATAACATTTCTGAGTTTTCCAAACAGCTAAATAACCTCAGAAAGAAGTTCAAGAGAAATAATTATGTACAACGTGGCTTGCAAAGAATAGGGTAAGCTCTGGGTTGCCATTAAGCCGGAATGATACCATGCATTATGTCCTGTGTCATGGTGGTGTAAAGCCTCTGTTGTTTGGCTGGGGCATGTGTGCGTTAGCAGGAAGAAACAAAATCTCAAGACTAACTTCCACTTGGAGGATATTTTTAATAAATCAAACACCTTAGAGCATTTTCAGTTTCTGTGTCATACAGTTGAGTCTCTGGACTTCTCACCTCCTGCTTTTAGCCACGAATAGGTTCACAGAAAGTCTCTTTCCCCCCTTAGGATTGTGTTAATACTCCCTTTTCTTCATCTGAAGGCTTAATCCACCATTTGTGACATCTAGGGCTGATCAGATGCAAACAAGAGTTTGAAAGGCCCAGGGAAAGCGGTGCAGGGCCTGGGGCTATCTCCACAGCAACCAGCTGTAGTGCCATGAATTGAGGCTGATTAGTTCAGGTTAAGTTCCTCCAGCAGCTGAGGCAGAGGAAACAAAGCTGCTGTCTAATGCCTGAGTGTTAATCAACTAGAAACTGATATATTTAAAAAATTAAAACTGTTCAAAAATAGCATTTCAAACAGCATGTTTTTCAAAGTTTTTCAGGATCTATAAGTCAGCTGAGCCTGAGAGCACAGGGCCAGTCCATTGATTGCAATAGGATGATGCACGAGGGAGGATTAGAGAATTCAGGCCTTTGTACGTAAGACCAAAAGGATTAAGTTAGGCAAATTAATTCATCATTGCTCATGGGACTGTGAGCCAGTGCCAGTCCTCTCTCTGTATCAGCCCTCCAATCTGTACTAAAGATGCTTGTCTTCCTCCATGCAACACTTCTTACGATCTATAGAATGAAAATGCTGTGTGGGTGTTTGGAGTTACGAGCCCTGGGATGTGCATTGTCCAGCTCTTAGTGTTGTGTAGCTGGGTGAAGGATGTTAAAAATTTTTTCCTAAGCTACTGCCAACACAAGTGTCAGGAAAATGGATTTTCCCGTGTTCAGGAGAGCACAGCTGTGTCTGTTACCTTAGGGGCACACAGCATGCTAAAGAGGGCAAAGAGGGGTGGGGAGGGATGGAGCCTGCCCACGCAGGTTCATGGCACAGGACCCCTGTGGACACTTGAAACAGTCTCCAGGTCTCTGAAAAGGCCATATTCTGCAAAACGGTTCTTAGACTTTCCTCTGGGCTCTGCACTGTCCTTTTTATTCTCTGCTGCATGATCTGGCTTTACACTGGAGTTACTGTCGTTATTTTTAGTTTCCTAAGGAAATGGGCATGATGGCATCATGCTGTGTATGTATCTGTGTACGTGCACTTTACTAAGCTTTAAACTTTTTGATCAGTTCCAACCTAATTTGGCAGAGTTGGGAAAGAACGGACTCGGTAAAAGGCCGAAATCCCCTCCAGGGAAGGCACAAGTGCTCCACTTACGAGATATCAGAGATCCCATCTGTGCACGGCGTCACTTGTAGTCTCAATTTGTTGTCATGGCTTTTTGCTGAACTGTTTAAAAAGTATCCCTTTTTCCACAAACCTCCTTTTCTGCAGATACTGGCCAGCCATTGACAATGCTCTGAGACGTGCAGCTTTCAACCACAGAGTGCAAGTCCGGCTCCTGGCCAGCTGCTGGACACACTCTGACCCAGCCATGCTCAACTATCTGAGGTCCCTGCGTGCTCTCAACAACCCACATGCCCACATCAGGGTCGACGTGGTATGATAAGAAACCTGGTGTTGGAAAGACAGCTTGAGAATATGGCCCCACACTGATTTTTGAGTCTAAGCTGCCGTTTGCATGTGCTTTTAGAGAAGCAGGTTGTCTGTTTTTGTAGTGACTGTTTCACATCCTTGTGAAAATAAGGCCCAAGATAAAATCTTTGAGGAAGCAGCTATTTCCAAGCCACTAGTGATATCAGGAATGTGCCTGGCTGTGGCACTTGAGACATTATCCAGGCAGTTGCTTTTGCTGAGCACCGTGACAGTGACAGTTCATATGATAACTTAGTGCTCCTCTCAGAGACCTCTTCCTGCATGGAGCATTTTAAATTGGTCTAATTGCTATCAGTTTTTTACAATTGAGAGATCTGCTATATCTGTACAAATAGACTTGTTTTTGAACACTAAATATTACGCACAGGCCACAGGCACTAGGCTGGAATGTATCAAGTAGAGTGGGGATGGTGTGGACACTCCCAACATGATGCAGTTACCACAGCAGAGAGATGTCACAGAAGAAAGAAAGGGTTTTAGTCAAAAAAAAAAGGGACAGAAATGAAGATTTTGGTAAGAGTTAACACAAAAAGTTATGCATCATTGTTTCCTGCAGTACCCCTCGTGTCTGTGATCAGCCCATTTTAGCACAAAATAAGAGCAGCAATCAGTGGTAAATGCAGATCTATTAAACAGCTGTCTAAAACTGCATTTAATTGTCTGCCCTGTAATGATAATAGCTGTGCCACTAATGGAACATTGTGAGGCAAACATTATCTGTATCTGATCGCAATTGCTTATCCAATTTTATGTATAGTGGAAGTACTATTTGTTAGTTTTCTTGGATAAGAGTAAAATTTCTTTTATCGTGTATTTAATAATAGAGTGTGGAATGTTCTTTTCTCCCCATATTATTCTATTCTTTGAAACTATAGAAAGCATGCACTGTCCAATCATGAAGTGTGTTCCTCACTCTAGTATTTCTGTTTATATTTTTAATTTCTCTCCCTCCAGAAACTCTTCATTGTTCCAGTTCTGAATCACACAAACATTCCTTATGGGAGAGTGAATCACAACAAATACATGGTCACTGATAAAGTAGCCTACATTGGTATGTATTCCAGTCTTTCAAATACTTACAGTGTCTCCAGATCTATTGGACTGAGACTGAGACAGGATGGGCTGCAATATCAGAAAATATCTCATTTTGCCATATAAAGCAGTCTGTCCTGGGTAAAGAAGTACAGATGTGAAGGGGAGATGATAATGTAGGTCAAGTTCAGTAAGAGATTATTTCATATGATTGTGAACCATTAGGAACAGAGCATGACAAGGCTGAGTGCACAGCCTGTGACAAGCACAGTGGGAGTTTCACAGCCTGTGTGCTCAGAATGACGCAGTGATAGCTGGTGCTCTAGTGTATAACATTATCGTGCTTTAATAACAAGAAATTACTGGGAGGAATTAATTCCACGCACAGTTTGTTGAACAGAACTCTAGGAAAGGAAATGAGAAAACAGTAATGTCAATTGCTGCTCAGTTCCTGAAAGTCGGGATGGTGTTTACGTTTCACTCTTTTATTAGGATCCCTCAAAAAAGGGGATGTGGGAGGGCTCTGTCATTTCAGTCAGCTCATCCTCCAAGCAATGCACACCAGCAAATAGCCCATCTTTCCAACTGGCTGAGGGTTTGCAGCTCCATTTGCCTTTAATACTTTAATAACTTGTTTCATACTGAGTTGTCTTTTGAAGGCAGATACGCAGATAATTTGTTTTCATGCCTAAGCACCTTCTGGAATTGACAGTAGATTTTTCTGACTCAGGCAATCACAAGGGGAAGTGCTAAGTGACAAAACATTTGTTTTTTTTCACAGTGTTTGATTTTCTGAATTGAGGTAGCTTTGGGGAGAGACTAGACAATGCCTGCAGCTGGATTCCCAGCTTTGCCTGGTTTAGAAGCAGGCGTTGCATGCTGAGCTCAGAACAACTCCTGAGGGTTTATTGATCAAGGGTCTAGTTTCTTCTCTTGTTTTCTTTCAACAAGTAAAGAGAATTAAGTCCATTAAGGACTCTTTTCTTTAAACAGAGAAACCCATGACAAACAGTGGCTTTTACCCCTCTTAATAATCAAGTGTTGCACTCTATTCCCATATTTATAATTAGTAGATTTGTGCATTCTGTCACAGGCTCTAAGGAAGCAGAAGGTTATGAATTTTCAGGGTTGTAGTTAATACCTACTTTCCGAAACCTGAGGTCTGGCATAAGAAGGAGGTGACCTGATTTTTGCTGCCTCATTGGTTCTAATGAGATTTGCAGTCATACAGCAAATCAACAAAGCCTGGAGATCCAACAGAACACTGGGAAATGAATGTTTTCTGATCAGCTACTTTTCCATTGCACAGGGACATCCAATTGGTCAGAAGATTACTTCACTAATACAGCTGGCGTGGGACTAATTATCAAACAGAATTGGACCAATCTGCAAAGAAGGCAACTGCCTGTCCAGGAACAGGTAAAAAACCTTTTTGAGCGAGACTGGAATTCCAAATATGCAGTGAATCTGGAAGATGTGCAGGGACAGAAAGACTGTAACTGGCAAGGCCGACTCTGAAGTGAATTGAAAAGTGCACTTAAAATAAGAACAAAAAAAATACATTTGAACCTTGTTCCTGTGCAAATCAAGGAACGTTCTTCTTTTTGTCTTTGTCAGAGAAATCGCTTCCTCATGGTGTCCACATTGATAATACGAGAATTTCTGATAGCTGACTATACCCGTAAAACCATTAGTCAGTGTGTGATGTTTAATTTTTTGTGTGATTACCTTATCCCAGAGTTAATAAAATGCATACAGTGTTGTATGACAAGCTGTCTGATACTAATGTAGACGCGGAAGACCTTAATATACCAGAGACCACTACTGCTGTGCTATTCTATCTTAAGAGATTATATATTTCAACCTAAATGCTCCATTAACAATGTTTGCTTACATGTGTTTAAGCATATTTTTAATAAACTCCTGGCCACTTTAAGATTTGAGCCATGTATATGGTCACCTACAATAGCGAGGGCAGATTTTTAAAAACATTCAGGAATTAGGGAATTAGGGAAATACCTATTTTTAAGTGTTCAGGCTACTTGCTGGAGATAAATGCCTGGGATTTAAACCTTGGGGCAGCTTCCAGCTTCCTGCCCTGGAGCCCTGAGTGCCTGGGGATTTTTGGATGTCTGTGTGTTGGTCTTGTGCAGCAAACAGGATGGGGGAGCAGAGCAAAGCTGCTGCATGGGTGCTGTTTTGGCAAAGACATCCCACCTGCACTGGGGGCAGTGCTTGGAGAGCCTCTTCGCTCTTTTTGGGCTGCCCAGGTGCTGGCCCTGACCAGTGTTATGTCTCTTGGCTGCCTTTTCTTCTGCAGTCACACAGGGGCCATAACCCTGAGCCATCTGGTGCCTTACATCCATATCCACCACTGCGTGGTCTCTGCCCTGGGTGACTCTCTGAAGTGACAGGAAAGGAGAGCAGGGCATGTGCTCCAGCTGTGGAGTGGTGTGACTGACACGTGGCTGGGGCTCCATGAGCCTTAGCAGGGCTGTGCACCTCTGCCTGACACTGGAATTGGAGTCATAAAGTGAACTTTTCGCTTGGGGACTGATGTACAGCAGAGGGGAGAGAGACTGAGGTCCAGAGCAGGATTCCACAGGACTGGGGAAAAGCCTGTCCTGTCACTCCATCTCTGAGCCCTAAAAATGCAGCAGACCTTTCCAGCCCTCAAATGTGTGTGGCAATGCATGGCTTCACTCTTGGCCTGGCAGGGCTCACTCAGTTGCATTTTGGCTCGGAGGTCCCTCACTTGCCACAGACACAGCACTGGGTAGGGGAAGTACAGGCCTTCCCACCACGGTGCAACCTCTCCATCCTCCAGAGGATGTGCTTTTGAATCCCTGCCCTGTGCTGAGAATGACAAAGGGACCTTTTGTGATCCTCTGTGTGTGGACTGATGTATACCTCTGCGAATACACACAAATCCCCACACAAGTAAGGACTTCTGGAAATGATCCCAACAGATTTTTCATTTTTTGGTTCCCAGGCTGCTCCTTAGCTATCTTTTCCAGACACTTCTAAGATTCCCTGGATTCCTTGGATCATTACAAATCAATACATCTTGTTACTGAGGCAGAATTTTTTAAGACATGTAGTTACATTTACAGATATCACTGAAATTTTCTGAGTATTCACATACATGCAAAAATATTGAGGAAGATGCAGGTGCTTTTAGCATTCTCATTTCCTATTTCCTTACTAGAGTCAGCTTGAAAATCTTTGTGAGAAGTTACATCCTTAACCAACAGAACAGTTTTCTGTAGAGGTGTGCACTCCTCTAGATGGCACTCGAAGCTGTGTTTTCCCTGTTTTGGAGCAGGCAGATATTGCAGGACCAAAAGGAAAACTTTTCTCCTCCTCTCGTGAGCTCAAATCTGACAGTGCTGGATTAATTATTCAGTGGGACAGAGTTTTTGGACAAGCTGGCAGAATTGTCTTATGGCCATACAAGACTCATGTGGTTTAAGGTTCAGTTTATAGAGGAAAAATTGACATTTATGGGAGTACTCTTTTATTTTCTCTACTGAAACCATTGCTGGTTTTCCTCTACATATGAAGGGGTGGTTTACAATTAAGACAATTGATGAGATCTAAGATGAACTTGAGTTTATTTTCCTGGTTTCTTGTGAGACTTTTTAGGCCCTTTCAAAACTTGATTCTTATTTACTTGTTCTCTATTAAAAAAGTAGAGTATCACGTAAATTATAACCAGGCTGAGTTTCAGTTCTTTTCTTTTCCATTTATGGAAAAGAGTTAATACTAATCCCTATGCATGCATATGTTACTTATCTCTTTCATTTAGATTGTGATTTCTGAGGACTGCACCAAATGTAAGCTGGGGCCTCCAGTGGTATTCATTAGCATTTATTTATTATCCTTGAATGGATTAGATACTAGGAAAAGGTTCTTCATCCAGAGGATGGTTGGGCACTGGAAAAGGCTCCTCAGGGAAGTTGTCATGGTACTGAGCCTGATAGAGTTCAAGAAGCATTTGGATGACACTCCTGGACATGTGGCATGATTCATGAGGATGTCATGTGTAGAGCCAGGAGCTGGGCATCGTGGGTCCCTTCTGACTCAGAATATTCTATGAGTTTCTAGTTTGATTGCAGGCTGTTCAGATTTTTGCCAGTATTGGTTTATTTATGTCTACAAAGAGTTGCTGGCTTGGATCTTGAGCAAGGATGCTCTTCTCTGATCAGCTCATCTCATGTACCTGTGTTATGATTACAACATGAGTGAACCAGCCCTCTGCTTTATCTCAGTGCCTTTCACGTGGAGCTGCTGCACTGCTCTCCCAGTAGGCTCATTTCTGAGAGCCCTTGTTTTGGTGCAGTGCCTTGTGGCTACAGCACTGCTGACAGCAATGCAGATGACAGCAAGACAGGACCTGGCTGGCTCCACAGGCTATGAGTACTGACAGGACTGCAAAGCCACCTGGCTTCACATGTTGGACACCAGCTTGTCCCAAAAGCTTTAGTATTGTCTGCTTTCATTTTTTCCTGCTGTTACCTAGGATTTTCTTTTACCAAGTGTTCCAGATAAAACATACATTCATTGTTTTCATCCAGGTACTGAGAAAACATTTCATCTGCCATTTATGCTGTATCAAGGTACACTTAATTTCTTGACAGTTGTAAATATCTCCCTAATCCCTAGAAGACAGCTCCTGAGTCCTCACTGATTCACAGACCACTGCTCTCTGCAGCTTTCCAAGGAGGGGAAGTAGAGAGGAAGGTGCTGATCCCTTCTCTCTGGTATCCAGTGATAGGATGTGTGGGAATCGTTCAAAGCTGCATCAGGGGACGTTCAGACTTGACATTAGGAAACATTTCCTTACCAAGATGGTTGTCAAACACCAAAACATGCTTGTCTCAAGCAATGTTTGATGCCCCAAGCCTGTCAGTGTTCAAGAGACATTTAGACAATTCCCTTAACAACTCTAACATTTTGACAATGTTTGGGTCATCTCTGAAGTGGTCAGGCAATTGGACTGAATGATTGTTGTTGTTTCCTTCCAATTAAGTATTCTATTCTGTTCTATTCTATTCTAAATGGCTTTAAACTGAAAGAGGATAGTTTAGATCAGATATTATGAAAAAATTCTTTACTGTAAGGGTGGTTAGGCACTAGAACAAGTTGCCCAGAGAAGCTGTGGCTGCCCCATCCCTCGAGGGGTTTAAGGCCAGGTTGGATGGGTCACTGAGCGATCTGGTCTAGTGAAAGGTGTCCCTGCCATCACAGGGAGATCGGAACTAGATGGTGTTTAAGATCCCTTCCAATCCAAACCATCCTGTGATTATTCTGCTCTATGCTTCTTCATATATATATTATCTCATTCAGGATTAATTTTGGCTGTCTTGCCTTTGGGATATATGAGAGGTCCTGCTTCAAAGAACAAACAATAACCAACCAATATTCAGCTCTTAACAATGCAAAAAATCACCACGGTCAGAGTGTCTGTCTTTTTAATGCATTTATACCTTCTTTTGCATGTCAAATCACAGCTGCAGGGTTTTTTGACTGGGGACTGAACGTAGATATTTAACTGAACAGCCCACCTTTTCAGATGTTAAAAAATAAGTAGCAGTAATCAAGGAGACCTACCACAGCTAAAAGAATGACCCGAGCATCTCAAACAAGGTGTGCAGGTGTGTTCAGAATCAGCCTGCAGAAAAGATATCTACGTGCTGCAGGTTTGTTACTGTGCTTCTTGCACTCTTTTGAGCTCTGTTCTTAGCTATTCCTGTGGTCAGACCCTTGGGTAATACCTTGTTAACCTGGTTCCTGTTTTGCTACCCTCCACTTTTTCCAAAACTGACAGAAGGTCAAACTGACAAAACCTTCCATGGAGGAAGGTTTTATTGTTGCTTCCTTTCTCTACTGCTCTTCCCTTAACTATTTCATTCATCCTTTGAAAACATCACAGAAAACATCATTGCTCTGTGGCCACTGCTGTCTCAGAGTTCAATTGACTTGATTCTGTCACCTGCTGCCACACTCATGGTCAGTGCTGCCCACATGGATTCTTATTTGTGGTCCCAAGTAATGGACACTACCTGAGAAATGTCTTGTGTGAAGGCTGCTTTGCAGGCAGATGTGAGCTGCTGTTAGAATAGCATGTCCTTTATTGTATACATCACCTTTTTCTGGACTCAATTTTTCTGTCTACTTTGCAATGTTTTCCTCAGTCTTGGTATGTGCTGTTGTTGCCTGATGTGGTAATTTTGGGTCTATTCAACAATGATGTGTATACTCAGGGAAACTTCAGGGAAATTCTGTATGATCCTAATAAATAATACAATGCTTAACACTTATGATACGAGTCTCTTCAGACATAACTGGAGTTTTCTCTAAAATAACTGCCTGCAGTTCTCTTCAGAAATTTAAGTGTACCTCAAAGATATGCTTGAGAGGTGGGCCAATGCAAACCTTATGAAGTTTAACAAAGTGAAGTGCAAGGCCCTGGGTCATGGCAATCCCAGACACACCTAGGGATTGGGTGGAGAAATGATTGAGAGCAGCCCTGTGGAGAAAGATTTGGGCTGATGGTTGACAAAAAACTCACCATGAGCCAGCACTGTGCGCTCACAGCCCAGAAAGCCAACCATGTCCCGGGCTGCACCAAAAGCAGTGTGGCCAGCAGGTCGAGGGGGGTGACTCTCCCCTTCTACTCTGCTCTTGTGAGAACCGCCCAGAGTATTGCATCCAGCTCTGGTGCCACCAGCATAAGAAGGACATGGAACTGTTGGAGTAAGTCCAGAGGAGGGCCACAAAGTTGATAAGAGGACTGGAACATCTCCTCTAAGAAGACAGGCTGAGACAGTTGGGGCTGTTCAGCCTGGAGTGGAGAAGGTTGTGTGAAGACCTCATAGCAACCTTCCAGTATCTGAAGGGGGCCTACAGGGAAGCTTGAGAGGGGCCCTTCATCAGGAATAGTCTACTGGTAGGACAAGGAGTAATGGGTACCAACTGAAAAGATGGAAATTTAGGTTAGATATTAGGAGGAAATTCTTTACTATGAGGGTGGTGAAATACTGGAACAGGTTGCCCAGAGAAGTTGCAGGTGCCCCAACCACTATTGAAGGCCAGGTTGGATAAGGCCTTGAGCAATGTGGTCTAGTGGAATGTGTTCCTGCCCATGGCAGGGGGATTGGAACTAGACAATCTTTGAGGTCTCTTCAAACCCTTAACATCGTATGATTCTATGAAGAAACCTAGAAATGAAGAGCATCTCAACTTACAGATGGTTAGATCAAGTACACTTCATTGAAAATCCAGTTGCTAAATGTTTTGCTGTGTCTGCTTTCCCTGTACTAAATAGAACATGGAGAAAGGAAATAGAGGGGATTAGAAAACTACTGTAACGAGACCTGTTGCAAATTTAAGCTGGGATTTTCAGAATCAGAAACGTCAGTAACTCACACTAGTTATTATCCATATGGTGAGTTTATTGTGACTTAATAATACAGACAGTGTTTTAATGGTACATGTGAAGGCTGTCACATATGCACTCTGGTTTCCATTGTGCCCTCGAGAGAAGCATTGATATAAACAAAGAAGCAAATAATTATATACACCTCCTTTCCCAGAAAATCTTTGAAGCAATTCCACCAGTGTGGCAGATCATTCTAAGCATTTAACTATCCCATAAATATATACATTAAAATTTATTTATCCACATTCATATAATTATTCTTTGTAAGCATGTTTTATTCTGGTATCTTAAAAATCTGAATTAGTTACAAGTTTTTGGTCTTGATATTATTCTGTTGGGTTTTGTTTTGGTATTTTTAAAATCTTTTAAGGCTAAATATGACCCACCACAATAATAAAAAAATCAGAAGAGAGGAAGAGGTAAAGCGTTAGTCTCTCTACACTAATATTTAATTTTTATTTTATATTTTAAAATGTTCGTGGAATATACATACTACTTTAGCTGAAATAAAGAAAAACATTTTAATAAGAAAGCAAAAGTAGGTCAGAAAGGTCCAAAATCTAAAGAGGTAAATATAGTTCTTATAGTACTAGTTTATAACCCATTCCGGAAATAAACTGTTATCCAAACGTAATTACATTGTGTGTTTTGAGAAGCCTATTTAAAAAGCCTTTTGCTATAACTGAGCCTTTCAATGGTTTACTTTCATGATTCAGGTATATTTTTTCAGACTTTGATCAAACTATGGGCTCCTCTGTACTTGTCATAATTCTTGCCTTTGGGGCAGATTTGAAGAAATCATTATTTTTATTAGTACACAATATAGTACATCCATGTACTTGAAAATTTACATGTGGTAAATTCTGTTAAACTCTTTTTATTAACATCAGCTTTGGGTTTTAATTTTCAGTTACCAGAAAATTAAAAAAAAAAACATTTTTTTCTGTGCATGTAGATGATTTTGTTTTCATTGAGTACTGAGAAAATACAACCTTCATTTGGTTATATCTCTATCAATATTAGATTTACTATCTTTTTCTTCCTCCAACAAGATTAGTTCAGTTCTTGCCAAAGATGTCACAATAGATGAGGCTCCATCAATTTCAACTTTTTCATCCCTTGTTGTTTCTTTAGGTGATAAGCTTTCTTGTGCATCAAAAAATACATCAGGTTTATCTGATGGGCTATCTTCATCTGAGATTCTTCCCTCTTTATGTCCCATCTCTTCTTTTTCAACAGACTTAGCCTTTTTGGAAGGAGATGTGAAACCAAGCTTGGGAAATCTAAACCATCCAGTTTTTTCAGTTTGCTTAGAGAAATCATCTGATGTGTCAGCAGATTTCATATCTTCTGGATCTGATTTTTTTACTTCTGTTTTTACATCTGTGCTTGCTTCATCACCAGAAGATGAAAAGCCAATCCCTGGAAGCCAAAACTTGAATCTTCCAGGAGATCTTTTGCTATCAGTCTTTTCTTTCTCATTGCTTTTGTCTTTTTCTTCACCTTCCATGGCTTCAGCTACATCCTCATCTTTAGAGAGAGGACCTGAAGTTATTCGCTCTGGTGATTTATCAGGAAGACCCTCTTCAAGTTTACTGGAAGGCTTTGCTTCAGCAGCATATGTTTTTAACTTTGGCAAACTTATTTCTCCACTAAATTTTTCAGACTCGTGATGTGGTTTGTCAGATAGTTTAAGCTCAGCACTGCCAGTTCTCTGTGCTGCTTCTCCAAAGCTTTCCCCAGCACATGTAGATTTTTTCACTGATCCACCTTCCGTCGGAGATGGCTGCTGGACTAGCACTTCTAAGTCACTGTGTGATTCAGGCAACTTTGCCTTGAGCAATGAGAATCCCAATGTAGCAGTTTTGACTTTTGATGACAGAATCTCTGATTCTTTCAGTATTTCAGTAGTGTAAATCTCACACCTTTCAATAGCAACGTGTTCAGGTTCTACTTTCTCACTCACTTCTTGGCCTTCTATGTAAGACCAATGAATATCCTGCCCTGTATTTGAAAGGGAGGACTCTATGGTAGTTGTCATTTGTGCTGTTTTAATGTCAGGTTCAGTCAGCATCACAATTTTGCTTTTTGCTTTTTGAATACTCCCCTCTAAAGCCCCTGGTGTTTCATCAGAGATAGCAGAGCTTGCTTCCAGTTGCACTATTTCAATATCAGTACTAGATCCCTTTGGATCTGTTGCCACTTTTGACACTAAAACATCAGCTTCAATTGGGAGAGTTTTAAAAGTGAATCTTGGTATTTTTAGTCTGGGAATTCTTACAATTACTTCTGGGCCACTTTCTGATTGGTCCACTGTTTCCCCTGTTATTCTGGCAGATGCTTCCATATAATCCAGAGCTGGATTTTTCAGGCCAACAGATCCTTCTGGTTTCTGTAACTGCATTTCTGCTGTGCCTATTTCACTTTTAGATATTGAATCAGCTTCTGACTTTGTAACATTGATATCACCTTCAAAACCCTTGATTTCCGAATGAAACATTCCAAATTTCGGAATCTTAAACTTGTATGCTTTAGTTTTACTTATTTCTGCTCTATCTTCTACTTGCACTTCCATTCCTGCAGACACATCCTTTTCAACACTTTTCACTTGAAATTTCATTTCAGGATCTACTCTAGTAATTTTAACATTCGTCTTCACTCCTGGAACTTCTACTTTTAGATCTTCCAGCTTAGCAGTAACATAAGTACCATCTTCTGATCCCTTTGTTGTAGACCATTCACACATAGTCCTTTTTAACTGACTTTCTTCACTGTCTTTTCCTATAATTTTCACCTCACCCTTTATCTTTCCTTTTTTAATTGCTGCCTCTTTATTTTGAATATCAAGCTCTTCCTTTGGAAGTCTAACATCTGTTTTCTCCTGTGTTGCATCCAGAGTAATTTCAGCTGATGACGGTTTGCATCCTACTCCTGAAGTCTCTAACTTAGTGGAACTTTCTACCTTTGGAACTTCCATATCCTGTGGTTTGACTTTATGCTCTTGAAAAGTCAGAGTACCTGTAGAAAACCTATTTGTTAAACTGTTGTCTTTGTCAGTTTCTGAAGCACTTAGGTATGATTTAGGCAATTCTGCTGCAGACACTGTGAATTCTGAAGTATGCATTTTTTGTCCTTCAGCACCACGCTTAACTATGTCTGCATAAGTTTCAGTTTTTGGAATATTCACTCTACTATCTGTTCTTTCTGTGGACAACGAAATATCTCCTTCCATCTTCGACAAGCTAACATCAGAAGTCCTCACAGAATCTTCAATTTTTTTAATCCCTTCTTTTCCAATAGTAATTTCAGCAACTGCATGAGGTAATGAGAAGGTATTTTCAGGAATACTTGTTTCAGTTTGTACTTTTGCAGAGGGAATGCTCGCCTGAGCTTTTTCCATACTTTCAATATCAGCATCACATTTTTTTTCCTTTAAGGATGTCCTGCCAAATGCAGGTATTCTGAATTTTGGCATTTTAAACCATCCCTGATGTTCTTCAGTCCGAACTTCTTCAGCTTTTATTTCATGTTCTTCTTTTAATTTGATTTCTTTGTCCTCAAGACTCTCAATAGCTCCCTCTGTCCTTGGTTTAGACACTGAGTGGAGGCTTATGTCTACTTTTGGAGCTTCAATGCCACCAGTCAGATCTTGGGGTGTTTTTACTTTACAAACAACTACTCCAGGATCTGATATATCAGATATAAGTTCTGATGCTGGAACTCCCACAGCAATGTCAGCAATTTTTAGCTGGGGTTGCTCAGCTTCTATTTTTGGAGAGCTGATCTCTGCCTCTGGGCATTTCCCTTTTGTTAGGGAGATTCCAAACTTTGGTTTCTGGAATTTGGGCATTTTAATCTTCCCTTCAGGACCTTCTAATTTCACTTTTCTTCCATCCACAACTGATGATCTTTCTATTACTATATCAGGGCTCTTCAGTTCAACTGAAGCTTCTCGTTTGGGGAACTTAATACTTGTTTTTTGAATGTTACATTCATCGGTAGAACTTGACTTTAGGTCAACCTGTTGAAAACTCCCCTCTGAGGGAGTCAGAGCAGCATCAATCTTTGCTGAGCTGATTCCCATTTCATTTTGAGAGGCTTCAGTTTCTATTTTAGAAAACTCCAAAGTGTGGAACTTAAGATCAGCCACTTTTATGCTTATTTGTGCCCCTTCTTCAGTCCTTTCAGAATGACTTCTTTCTATATCAGGTATCTGAATTGAATCATCACCCTCTCTTTCCGTTTTAAGAAGAGTAGCATCAAGTTCAACTTTTGACAAATGAGACTGAGATTTTGGAACCTTGATCTTGGACAGTGAAATTTTAGGCATGACAAATTGAGGCTTTTTAATTGGACTTTTTTGTTCAACTTTTCCTGTAGATATTTCCAGATCAAGGGCTGTCCCACTACCTTCATCATCCATTCCAGTTCCTCTCACTTCTGTATCTATTCTGCTTGACATTACACCAAGCTTTTGGTCTTCCAGATTTGCTCCAGAATCAGGTTTAACACTTGTTTCCTTCTTTGGTGACCAACTGAAGGATGGAAGTTTGAATTTTGGCATTTTGAAATGTCCTTCTTTCTCTTCTCCATCTCCATCTGGCTTTATTTCCCCTTTGATTTTTAGTGCTGCATCTGAATCTTGAATATCACTGTCTGGTTTTGGAATAGAAATGTCAGCTGAAGGGAGGTGAACATCAGCCTCTGATGCCTTACTGTCAGTTTTGGTCATTTTGAGTTGAGGGCTGTAAGTCTCTGTTCCTGTGCCACATTCCACCTCCAAGTTTGGTCCTTCGACAACAATGTCAGATATTTCTACTGTTGCTTTTAGCTGGGGAACCTTGACTTCTGATTTGGATTGGCTGACCTCCTTTTCTGGCCCTTTCCCTTTAGAAAGTGTAATTCCTAACTTCGGCATCTGGAATTTAGACATTTTTGTTTTCCCTTCAGGACCTTCAGCTTTTATTTCTACATCACTCACAGCAATTTCACTTGATGTTCTTTCAATACTTGCGTCAGGACTCTTCATCTTAAGTGAACCTTCAGTTGTCGTCCTAATATCTGAGGTGGAGAGGCTGGCGTTAGCAGCAGCTGATTTCAATTTTAGATCATCTTCTTCACGCATACTAAGTATGACTTCACCTGTAGGCCTGCTAATATCCACGTCTATTTCGGGAGCTTTGACTTCTGGTTTAGAAAATTCCAAAGTTGGGACCGTAACTTTTGGCATTTTTATGCTCATTCCAGCCCCTTCCCCACTAATCTCTTTTTCAGATTTCTGTACTGAAACACCTTCTTTTTCTTGTTTGGGACCACAAATATCAGTTTCTAGTACAGGCAGAGAGACTTGGACTTTCTGACCCTTAATTTTAGGGAATGAGATCTTTGGCATGGTAAATTGGGACTTCTTGTTTCTGATCTTTTCACCATCTTTTTCTATAGATGTGTCAAGTTCTACATGAACGTATTGATTCTCAGAAGTACGAAAAGTTAATTCAGAGTCTGTGTCTCCAGATAAAATAGACAAAGGCGGTTCTTCCAGATGTTTCTCAACCTGAGATGGAACAATAGCTTCTTTCTTTGGAGACCAACGAAATGAAGGCAGTTTGAACTTTGATGATTTAGATTTGTTTTCTTTCTCCTCAGCATCCTTCTCTCCTGAAATTATTTCCTGGTCTGCCTTGCAGTCTAAATCTGTGCTATGGATTTCTCCTTCTGATTTTGGCAAGGTAACTTCCATTGGTGAGAGATCGGGATCCAGTATTGGTGCATCCAGAACAACTTCAAGTGAAGGCTTGTGCAACTTTACACCTAACTTGACATCAGAGATCTCAGTTGGTTTTCCAGTATCAGGATCAGTCATATCAGATGTTATCCTTTCCCTGGAAATTTCAGATTCCACTTTGAAACCAATGTCACTTTCTGATGCTTTACCCTTAGATCGAATTCCAAATTTTGGTTTTCGGAACTTAGGAATTTTAACTGTAACATCTGTGTCACCCAAAGATATTTCACCATCCCTTGTTTTAACTTCTGACTTAAGACCTTCTTGCTCCACAGAACCATCTTCATTTAAAATTTCAAAATCTGAAAGATTTTCGTCTGCAAGAGATGGTATTTTTGATTCAGATTCTGTTAGATTAATTTGGTATTTAGTAAGCGTAATATCCTTTTTTTGAAATGAGGACTCAGGGTCAATTCCAGATGAACTCAAACCAACCTTGGAGAAACCCAAGCTAGGAATTCTGAACTTAGTACTTTTAGATACATGATCTCCCTTTAAGTCAGGCAAAGGCTTCGATGTGACACTACCCGAAAGAACAGCAGGAGTATCCTCTGTTACAGAACAACTAAGAGATTCTGACATTGAAACATCAGCTCTGGATTTACTTTCTCCATGAGATTTGGAAATTTTAGAAAGAGAAACTTTAGGCATTCTAAATAGAGAACTTCGAGATTTACCCATCTCGTCCTCTATAAAAGACAAGGAATCTACAGGAACTTCAGAAGTAGGCACCTGGATCTCGGCCCCAGGCAGGGTAACATCCACCTCAGCGGCTCTTGAGGGCATTGTAACTTGGGGTTCCTTGAGGCTGATGTCCACCTCGGCGGCTCCCGAGGGCACCGTCACTTGGGGCTCCTTGAGGCTGACGTCCACCTCGGCGGCCACGCTGCCCTTGGCCTCTCTGCTGCTGGACCAGCCAAAGGAAGGCATGCCGAACTTGGGCATCTTGAACTTGCCGTCCTTGGTCTTGGCGGCCTCCTTCTCTGGGGCTTTTGCTTCCCCTTCCAGGCTGAGGGTCGCCTCGGGCGCCTGCACGTCAACGCTTGCCTTGGGAAGGGTGACGTCGACGGAGGGCACGCTGATGTCCACCTTGGGAGCCTTGATGTCAGCTTTGGGCATTTTCAGGGAGGGCTTCTCCAGCTTCCAGCCGGCCCCTTCGGCTTTGGCGCCGGGGACGTCGGCTTTGAGGCTCAGGCCGGGGCCCTCCCCTGCGGCCGTCACGGTGGCGGAGGGGAGCTCGACCTCTGCGCTGGGCAGGCTGACCTCGGGCCCTTCCGCTTTGGGGGAGGACACTCCAAATTTGGGCTTGTCGAACTTGGGCATCTTAAGCTTTCCTTTCAGGCCCGAGGCTTCCAGTTTGGCCCCGTCGAGCGAGACTTCAGCGGAGGGTGCTTTATGTCTATCCTTCTTCGGTCGGGCGCCTGGAGCTCGAGGGAGCCTTCGACGGAGGGCAACTGGATGTCGGGGGCCGCGATGCTGACGTCGGCGGCGCCGGCCTTGAGCTCTGCCGGCGGGAGGCTGACGTCTGCCTCCACTTGGAGCCTTGAACGGTGGCTTGGAGAAGACCATGCGGGGCACCTTGACTTTGGGCAGGTGTATTTTCATGCCGCCGCCCTCAGCTTTGCCGGCTGCCACCTCCAGGCCGCCGTCGGCCTCGGGGCCCTGCAGGGCGACTTCGCCCTCCTGGCCTTTGGGCAGCGAGACCTCGGCCTTTGGCAGGCTGACCTGCGCGTGGGGAGCTTTGACCTTGGGCAGCTTGACGCTGGGCATCTTGACGTCGGGCATCTTGATGTCGGGCATCTTGAATCGACCCTTCTCGCCCTCTCCCGTGGCGGCCGCCTCCAGCGTCACCTCCACGCCGGGCGCTTGGATCTCGGCGCCGGGCAGGCTCACCTCCACTTCGGCGGCTCCCGAGGGCAGCGTCACATGGGGCTCCTTGAGGCTGATGTCCACCTCGGCGGCTCCCGAGGGCACCGTCACTTGGGGCTCCTTGAGGCTGACGTCCACCTCGGCGGCCACGCTGCCCTTGGCCTCTCTGCTGCTGGACCAGCCAAAGGAAGGCATGCCGAACTTGGGCATCTTGAACTTGCCGTCCTTGGTCTTGGCGGCCTCCTTCTCTGGGGCTTTTGCTTCCCCTTCCAGGCTGAGGGTCGCCTCGGGCGCCTGCACGTCAACGCTGGCCTTGGGAAGGGTGACGTCGACGGAGGGCACGCTGATGTCCACCTTGGGAGCCTTGATGTCAGCTTTGGGCATTTTCAGGGAGGGCTTCTCCAGCTTCCAGCCGGCCCCTTCGGCTTTGGCGCCGGGGACGTCGGCTTTGAGGCTCAGGCCGGGGCCCTCCCCTGCGGCCGTCACGGTGGCGGAGGGGAGCTCGACCTCTGCGCTGGGCAGGCTGACCTCGGGCCCTTCCGCTTTGGGGGAGGACACTCCAAATTTGGGCTTGTCGAACTTGGGCATCTTAAGCTTTCCTTTCAGGCCCGAGGCTTCCAGTTTGGCCCCGTCGAGCGAGACTTCAGCGGAGGGTGCTTTGAGGTCTATCTCGGGCGCCTGGAGCTCGAGGGAGCCTTCGACGGAGGGCAACTTGATGTCGGGGGCCGCGATGCTGACGTCGGCGGCGCCGGCCTTGAGCTCTGCCTGCGGGAGGCTGACGTCTGCCTCCACTTTGGGAGCCTTGACGGTGGGCTTGGAGAAGACCACGCTGGGCACCTTGACTTTGGGCATGTGTATTTTCATGCCGCCGCCCTCAGCTTTGCCGGCTGCCACCTCCAGGCCGCCGTCGGCCTCGGGGCCCTGCAGGGCGACTTCGCCCTCCTGGCCTTTGGGCAGCGAGACCTCGGCCTTTGGCAGGCTGACCTGCACGTGGGGAGCTTTGACCTTGGGCAGCTTGACGCTGGGCATCTTGACGTCGGGCATCTTGATGTCGGGCATCTTGAATCGACCCTTCTCGCCCTCTCCCGTGGCGGCCGCCTCCAGCGTCACCTCCACGCCGGGCGCTTGGATCTCGGCGCCGGGCAGGCTCACCTCCACTTCGGCGGCTCCCGAGGGCAGCGTCACATGGGGCTCCTTGAGGCTGATGTCCACCTCGGCGGCTCCCGAGGGCACCGTCACTTGGGGCTCCTTGAGGCTGACGTCCACCTCGGCGGCCACGCTGCCCTTGGCCTCTCTGCTGCTGGACCAGCCAAAGGAAGGCATGCCGAACTTGGGCATCTTGAACTTGCCGTCCTTGGTCTTGGCGGCCTCCTTCTCTGGGGCTTTTGCTTCCCCTTCCAGGCTGAGGGTCGCCTCGGGCGCCTGCACGTCAACGCTGGCCTTGGGAAGGGTGACGTCGACGGAGGGCACGCTGATGTCCACCTTGGGAGCCTTGATGTCAGCTTTGGGCATTTTCAGGGAGGGTTTCTCCAGCTTCCAGCCGGCCCCTTCGGCTTTGGCGCCGGGGACGTCGGCTTTGAGGCTCAGGCCGGGGCCCTCCCCTGCGGCCGTCACGGTGGCGGAGGGGAGCTCGACCTCTGCGCTGGGCAGGCTGACCTCGGGCCCTTCCGCTTTGGGGGAGGACACTCCAAATTTGGGCTTGTCGAACTTGGGCATCTTAAGCTTTCCTTTCAGGCCCGAGGCTTCCAGTTTGGCCCCGTCGAGCGAGACTTCAGCGGAGGGTGCTTTGAGGTCTATCTCGGGCGCCTGGAGCTCGAGGGAGCCTTCGACGGAGGGCAACTTGATGTCGGGGGCCGCGATGCTGACGTCGGCGGCGCCGGCCTTGAGCTCTGCCTGCGGGAGGCTGACGTCTGCCTCCACTTTGGGAGCCTTGACGGTGGGCTTGGAGAAGACCACGCTGGGCACCTTGACTTTGGGCATGTGTATTTTCATGCCGCCGCCCTCAGCTTTGCCGGCTGCCACCTCCAGGCCGCCGTCGGCCTCGGGGCCCTGCAGGGCGACTTCGCCCTCCTGGCCTTTGGGCAGCGAGACCTCGGCCTTTGGCAGGCTGACCTGCGCGTGGGGAGCTTTGACCTTGGGCAGCTTGACGCTGGGCATCTTGACGTCGGGCATCTTGATGTCGGGCATCTTGAATCGACCCTTCTCGCCCTCTCCCGTGGCGGCCGCCTCCAGCGTCACCTCCACGCCGGGCGCTTGGATCTCGGCGCCGGGCAGGCTCACCTCCACTTCGGCGGCTCCCGAGGGCAGCGTCACATGGGGCTCCTTGAGGCTGATGTCCACCTCGGCGGCTCCCGAGGGCACCGTCACTTGGGGCTCCTTGAGGCTGACGTCCACCTCGGCGGCCACGCTGCCCTTGGCCTCTCTGCTGCTGGACCAGCCAAAGGAAGGCATGCCGAACTTGGGCATCTTGAACTTGCCGTCCTTGGTCTTGGCGGCCTCCTTCTCTGGGGCTTTTGCTTCCCCTTCCAGGCTGAGGGTCGCCTCGGGCGCCTGCACGTCAACGCTGGCCTTGGGAAGGGTGACGTCAACGGAGGGCACGCTGACGTCCACCTTGGGAGCCTTCATGTCAATTTTTGATTGTTCTTCACCATTTTTTATTTCAATATCAGTTGTTGACATCAATATTTCTCCAGTAGTTTTTTGAAAGGCATTTTCTACCTTGCAAGGTTTTATTGTTATTTTTTTCGGACTTGGCAGGTGGACCTTTGTCTTTTCTTTGATGTCATTTTCTTTTATTTTTCCTTTTGATATCTCAGTTTTCACTTCAACACTTGGTACCTTAATTTCTTCTGCTGATCCACATATCTCTGCTTCTGCTCCTTCTTTTATTGTTGCCATTTTTCCTTCCATTTCACTTATCTGTCCTTCAGTTTTCCCTGTTTCATCCTTGGTATTTGACCAAGTAAATGTAGGAAATTTTAACTTTGGGAGTCGGAATTTGCTTTCTTTTCCCTCTATATCTTTCTCACCTGTCTTCATTTCAATTTCTAACTTTAAGGTTTTGTCACTTGTGGGCATGCCATCTTCTTCTATCCATTCCTTTTTTACAGTATCTTCTGATTCACCTGTGCTTTCTTGTCTTGCTATTTTCATGTCAGTTTTAGGCGTTTTGGTCATTTTGAATGATGGTATTTGTATTTTCCAAGAAGATACTTCTGGTTCTGCATCAGGTATGTGTGTTTTCACATCCAAATTCCTGCCATCCTCTGAAGTCGCATCCATTGTTTTTTCTGGTTCTGAATGTGGAACATCACCTCCCAGTTTGGTGGTTTCAGTCTCTGTCTCTTTTCTCTTGGGCACTGAAATCCCAAATTTTGTTTTCTGAATTGTTAGTATCTTCGTGTCTTCTTCTGCTTGAATTTCTCCTGCTTCCAGTGTGTCGGATGTGTTTAATTCTGCTTTTGCAGTTCCTATTTCTAGGCCTTTTACCTGTGTAGATCCTTTAGCTGTGTGACTCATCACGTCTATGTTAATTTCACTTTCTCCTTCTTTTTTAACTGGTGTTCCTTTCTGTTTCTTTTTTCGGGATTTTGATGATGCTTGTGATGTTTTTTCAGTTGGACTTGCTTTCAGATCAGGTGTTTCTAAACTGGGCTTTGGTATCTCTGTTGTTATGTCTGGTACCTCAGGCAAACTAAATTTTGATGTTGATTCCTTGTCTTTTTTAATGCTTATTTCAACTTCAGGGCATTGTTTTACGTGAGATGGGATACCATTTTTCATTTCTTTTAAGTCTTTTGTTAAAGTTTCCTGTACCTCCCCTATTTTCATTTTGTAAGCAGGAGATGTGGTATATTCAACAGTCAGGATTTCAGGATTTTCCAGGCTAATATCTTCTTCATGTATTTTTTCTCTTTCAGAGATCAGTGTAGTTTTTATTTCTTTTTTTTGTTTCTCTTGTAGGTCTGTTTTGGACCTGTGCATTCTGAATCCAATGCTAGGGAACTTCAGCTTCCTTTGGTTTCCTTTTTTTTCTTTGGTATGGACTTCTTGTGGAAATTGAGACTCTGTGTCTGTGCTTGTAGGAGAAATATCCTGTACAGCAGGCTCATATGCATCTGATGTACTATGAGATCTTCTGTGCCTCAATATCTTTTTATTTTTGATTGACTGGAATTTTGGCCATGATAATCTGTCTTTTTTAGGTCTCTTGCTTCTTCCTACTCTTTGGCTTGCAATTAATGTTTCCCTGTCTTCTTCTGAAATGGCTTTTCCTGAAACATGAAGCGTTTCTTCAGGAATGCTCTCACTGAGTTCTTTCTCCTGAAAGAATAAATAGTAGACAGAAGATTAGAAGTAACCTAAATATAGGTGTAAGAGAAAATAAAAGACATACTGTAAAATGTGTAGAAAAAAGTTCTTTTTATTAATAGTATCTACTTCTTATATAAAAAAATAATGAAAATTTTATATATATATGTATATATGTATATAGTGTCAGGAAGAAATTACACAAAGCAAATGGATTCTATGGCTGTAATATATTGATTTCTGAAGGTTTACATTCTTTGCAAAACACTGCACTAAACTGAGGTTTCTATATATATTTCTCTCTATATATGTACAAATATATATAATATATATTATTTATATAGATGTATATGAAGAAAAAACAATTTTTAAGGTGATGGAAACCTATGAACAGATCATGTCTATCAAGATATCAGTGATTAAACACATATTTTTAAGAAAAAAAAAATCTCATGGATGACCTTTGGAGAAAAATGTTTACTGATATTTTACATTTTTGAAAATATTGCATATAATTATTACAGAGATTACCTGAGTCTGTTCTATCAGTCGACAATAAAGAACAAAAAAAGACTGACTCACTAAAGAATACTTTTGTACCCTAACACAAAATTGTGTATTTATATAAAATCTGTGGTCTCACTCAGGATTTAAAAAGCTGTAAATACTGTGTGGGATTTTTTTTTTTTTGGTCATGAATAGTCATACCAATAAGTTTAAACACACACCTCAGTCTTAAGAAGACACAAGTGTGTTTTCTGATCTATTTCCACGTTGCTACACTATTTTATCCAAACTTTGTAAACTAATCAAAAGTTACCTGGCTTATTCTTTCCTTCTTGTATTGAGCTGTAGAATGTTCCAGCTCTTCTTTCACAGCAATTTTTCTTTTGAGGCTGAACTGGACTCTGTACGGTTCGGAATACTGGAGAATCTTGAGTGCATCTTCATATTTGATGTTATCAAAAAATATTGTAGCACTTAGAAGCTGATCACCTGCAAGTGGAATCATGGATCACTTTAATTACTTTGTGTATTCTTACAGTTTTTCAAATTCTGTTGAAACAATGACAAAAAAAATAATTATCACATCCTTTTATTTAAAATATGAAATTACGTTCACATAATAGAATCATGGAATAGGTAAGGCTAGAAAGGACCTCTGGATATCATCTAGTCCAACTGCCCTGCTGAGTGAAGGGTCAGCCACAGGCAGTTGCTCAGGTCTGTGTGCAGTCAGGTTTTGAAGATTTCTAAGGATGGTGACACCACTATCTCGCTGAAAAACCCGTTCCAATATCTGACCACCCTGACAGTAACAAAGTTTTTTCTTACATTTTCCAGTGTTTAGACTTTGGACTTTTGTTCTTGTTTAAACCATTATTTATTGCAGTTCTGTGGCATGCTATATTTTGCGAAAGAATCAAAGGAAGGTTCTTCGTGCATGTCATGAGTTGTGCCTTTTTTTATTTTAGTTGTGTATATACCACTTTCTATGTGTCTTTTTCACTGTTCCAGTGAAAATTTTTTTTATCACATACTAAAAAATCATATTTCATTATTGTTCAAGCAAGTGATCTTTGAATTTATTAATACAGACAGCTTAAGTGCTCACATAAACATTAGTTGGTTTGCAATCTACTATTTTTGTTACCTAAAGAGATGACAGATCAGGCAGGTATCTATGTGCACACACAGCTATATATCTCATTATTTAAAGATATAGAATAAAATCAAAACAAAACAAAAAATCAGACTGTACCTTCTTTAAGACTAAATATTTTTGAAGCAGGAGATTCCTTAAGTACTTTTTTAATAAATATTCCTTCATCTCCTCCACCTTTCACACTAAAACCACTAGCACCAGCTTCCGCTTCTGTTTTCAGGGTTACTTCCATTGTCTCCTAGAGATTGAAAAAGGTGTGAATTTATCATTTTTATTCATTTGTATCAAAGAGTTCTACATTACTCTACAATAAAAAGTTGAGCCTGATGAGGTATATTTTCAATAGCTCAGGAAAGGTTATCTAAAATGCAGATAACCCACTCACGTTCAGTGTGGATTCAATTCTGTTCTAAATTAGAATTAAGCACGTGTTAGGGTTATGCTGGATCAAGGCCACAGGGAAAAACATGTTATAATTTTAAAATGTGGAACACATGGAATCTTTTAGGGTTGAAAGATTTTCTGTTAAGATGGTTAACACTTGAATTAAAGTCAGTGGGCCAAAAAAGGCAGACTAAGAGCTAATGGTCTACTGTATTCAAACCAAAGAAGGATAAAGGAAGAATGCTAAAAAGAATTATGGAAGGACCCTGAATAGAACAAGTAGGTGCTTATGCCTGTGCCATAACTAGGCAATTTGTGAAGTTCCTGGTCAAACCAAGTCTAAAGCGATTCTTCACCCATTTGTCCTTCCTTCTATCCATCCTTCATGTCTGTGTGTAATAATAAACTTTATTTTGCAAGGCTCATGCCTATAAGTGCTTTTAGACTGACCTGTGGATGACTCTGTTTTGATTTGTCTGCAGAATGTTTTTTGTTTTCTTCTTGAAGCTGAAAAATAATTTTCAATTATTTAGTGTTCAGAAGTCATGCTGTTGTCAGGTACAACAAAAGTCAGCTAAAAGTCCTGGTTTAGACTAAGAACTGAGGCTGACTTTAATGGCAACAGAGCAAAATTGAGATCTGTAAGTGCAATGTACAACATGAATGATTTAAATATGCTATTCCCAGTAGTAAATTAGATGCCAAGGCCTCCCTTCATTGTACCAAAATTTGCATTATTTAATTCATTTGAATGCCAGAGACCAAATGTCTTAAGACATGGGGAGCTTTTCTGTGTCTTAATGTAGCACATTGCCCATGCTTTTATTTTTGTAAATGTGCATTATTTTTTTACCTATTCAACTTCAGTATGAATTTCAAACTGCTGCCTACTTATCTTAACATGGCTGTACTAATTAAATCCCTAACACTGAATAACCAAGAGGTACAGGTAATTTTGAAACACTTATTTGCTAGATTCAAGTCACTTATATATTCTAACAGGAAAAACACTGTGATTTCTTTACACGCTCTCTCCCGTGTCCTTTAAGGAATGGAGTCAAATTTTTTTTTTTGCCAAGAAACAAGAACATGGCCAGCAAATCCAGTACAAAATAAAACCATCAATGAACATGGACCAGATTTTGGTGCGGACAGGAAGACAATATGGCTGCAACAACATCCCATTATACCACATATGAGTCTCTGCAAGTTGTAGGAGTTAAAGCCTCTTGAATCAACTTGGTAAAGCCATGCCTGCATGAAAAACTCAGTGTCTTGCCTTTAAATGTTCTTCTTCTGTGGGATACTCATAAACTGGAGAGGATCCCTGTGGCCTTGGACGAATGTCTTCTACTGCCACTTCATTAACCTGTGGAACAGAAATGAGTGGTGGTAAAGAAACATCAACCAATTAACAGTGACTCATTTTCTTAGGAGAGTTTCTCTAGTTACTCATAGTCTCATTCTGAGTATAAATCTTTCATTAGTATGTTGGATGAAAAATAACCAATAACTCTTTTCTTAGGTCAATACCAAATAAAATTCTCATGTTAAAGCACTCAAAAACACAAGGGACAGAGACCTGAGAGACAAAAACAGCAGTACACTGATTCTGGTTTTCTTTATGTATTGTTTGCATCTACAGATGGAACAGACTGAAAATACTGACAGATCAATAAGTAATAATTGAAAAAGGCAAAAAAAAATCCCTCCCCTGCTTTATTTGCATCCTGTGGCTTCAAGCTTTATTGCCCTGTATAACCAAGCAAACCATGGAAAAGTCCCAGCAGGAATTTCTGCTGACAAGCGCTTGGCATGCTTCCTTCTGGAGTCAGACAACAGGGAACCTAAACCATCTAAATCTTTAAAGAAAAATTACTGTAGTTAACAGCCATGTAATAGTTTCCTAAGTCTTGGTAGTGAACTTATGCTGGTGAATCATGGCAAAGAGCAGAAGCCTTTTTACTGAAGCAACTTTCTCACTTTTGAGCTGGCAGAACAATCCCAAGCGGGGATTTTTAATGGGGAGGAAAATCACCAGCAAGATCCAGCTATAAACAAAATATTTAAGATCTCATTTTGCCAAACTCTCATCACAGAAAAACTTTAAAAGACTCACAGAATCTTCATCCTCTGCATCCACATCGGCATCAGCATCTCCGGGGGGCTCAGCTGGTCTCAGCTGTCGTCCAGAACCTGAAAGCAGCACACAGGTTGTTGGTGTCTGCAGGATCCCCACAGGGCACAGAGCAGTCAGCTTGCAAGCTGAAAACCTCTGGAGCAGCATGCCAGTGGACATGCATGGGCCAGCGGTAGAAAGGCCTGCTTTCATTTAGATTCCCAGCATCACCGAAGGATTTGGGTTGGAAGGAATCGTCAAGACCACCTGGTTCCAACCCCCTGCCATGAGCGGGGACACCTTCCACTACACCAGGTTGTTTAAAGCCCCATCCAACCTGGCCTTGAACACTTCCAGGGATGGGGCATCCACAGCTTCTCTGGGCAACCTGTGCCGGTGCCTCACCACTTTCCTTATCTTAGATCTTGTCAGGTCAATCTTTCCAAAGATACCAGGAATATTCATATCCGGGTAAGGAATGAAACATGGGAAGGAAGGCTTTTGTGAAGGAAAAAATCCCCAGATTGGAGAACGTGTACAATTGTAAGTTTGCCGTATTTTTGTGTTATTATTACCAAGGGGGGCTTGAGCTGTGTATTGGGCAGAATTTGAAGGGCTTTGGCAGTAGGGTGGCTGTGGGGTGGTCTCTGTGGGAGGAGGTCACAGACCACCCTGTGCCACATGCGGTGTTTGCAGACAGCTCCACTTTGCTGAAGCGATTGGAGGAGTTTCCATCACTTCTGTGAAAATGTGTGTAAGAAAGAGTGATAAACACCAGGAAGAAAGAGAAGACTACACCAGAGCATATTGAAACTCTTCCTTGTTTCTGACAAAGGTCTTAAAAGCTGGAGAGTAAACATCATGAAGCTTTCATAGTCATAAAGACTCTGCTTTCCTGGTTTTCAGAAGTACTGAGGGCAGAGAGAGATGAGATGAAGGAGATGGGCTCTCTGAAAGTATGATTCTGTTGAAATGCTTTAAATTGGGCACCAAAGAATGAAAACAGCATGAATGAAAACACGGTTTTCAGAGAGCCAGTAGAGGACAGTGTGGCTGAGCTACACGTTCCCTGATACACCAGCTATTCTAACACATGCACAAGTCCTTGTCCTGATAACTATGTCTTTCCTGTCTCAACGTTGTTTTTGCCAGGCCAGCAGGCTGTCTAGCTCCCTCACACCCAGTTCTGCAACTCTCAGGCACTCACATGGTGTGACTCTTGGGGATGGTCCTGTGCAGGCCTCAGAGTTGGACTCGATGATCCTTGTGGGTCTCTTCCAACTCAACATATCCTGTGATTCTGTTTGATTTATACACAGTTTTGGCTCTCCTGAACAGACCCTCTGGCTTAAAAATATGATCAAACACTACAGAAGACAATTACAAGAAGAACTGTGCAACTCATTAATTGTCTCCTTTAAATGGAGATTCCTTGGGCTGTAACACAACATTTCTGGATGTGGTTATTACATGCTGTGTGTGCAGACAAGCTGGCACGACTTAGGCATGTATGCCATGGCTCTGACTTACACACATGGTCAAGCTCTTGTAAAATTTTGGCTGTGATTTTACTAGCCATTCTTCACAGTTTTCTGATCTCCTACATTTACTTTTTCCTTGACTTTTTTTGAGGATGAACTTATTTATTACAGGCAGAGTTATGGAATAGTCATGGCCTGTGATCAGTGATGGGCCACTTTGTTAAGGGGAATAGAAATATTGTGCTTCCAGTGGGAATATCCCATAACTGTCTGTGGGTCAAGTCTCAGACTTGACAGAAGTTATCCTCATTAGCCATATGTACAGCATCTTAATCAGCTCTCCTGTGGTATCTTAGCTCCAGAGAACTAGAATCAACCCAGAACACAACAGAGCTGCTAGATCATGCCTCCTTTAGCCTTCACAGGACTAGTCCTGACATGTACGATGGACAGTTCCAGAAAATGCCAGAAAATGGTCTTAATGCAGACTCTAATTCAGTTTAAAAACCTTCTTAAAATTTGGCTTTCTTTTTTTTTCCAAAAGGTCTAGAATTTGCAATCTTCAGAAGCTCAAGAAAATTGGAAAATGAGCATAACCTTGTTAAAAAATTTAGATATGGATTTATGAACCTGATTTTAGGCATTTCTGCCTGAAAATTTTGGAATCCATTCAAGGAGCACTTCACCGCATGAATTTTAATAAGCATCATATGAGGAGAAGAGCTGCAGGATTGAGGCTTGATTGTTTAATTTGCTTAGTGCTTCTAAAGATTCAGGTGCCAACAACGAATTTTATGGCTCTTACTAAAATTCCAAGAAATAGTAAGGACTTAGTCTTGCGGCATTGCCATATTTTTCACTTGGGATAATCCCACCCACAAGCCCTGCAGTCCAGTAGAATGACTTAACAGAAAATTGCTTGGATCGCTGGAGTGTTTGCTCTTCGGTGCAGCACTTCAATGCTAACAACAGCATTGATCCCTGGTGGCTGCCAATAATTTTGCTACTGGAAAAGAAACAGGAAAGACTTAGCTGTGAGGTTTCTTAGGTTGGTTCACTGCTGTTTCTCTAGTTTTACTCTGGTGTAACTTCAGAGACAGTTCTGTTGTCTGGAACTGGAGCAATGCCAGAACGGGGTGCTCTGATCTCAGGACGTGAATGGTCCTGTACAGTCTGTGCTGTTGATTTTACACCATCCAGTGGGGCATGCCCTTTGAGACTGGGATTCTGCAGCTATCCTACAAGTTTAGCTGAGTTGAAGCTTCTAAAACTAAGTCATTCTTAGAACGATTAGGTGACCAACACCTTTAAAATCTTCCTGCATAAAATCCAAGAGAATTAGATCACTTTGTGCAGTGAGACCTGAACATTTATTTTCCACCATGATGCCATTTTAAACCAACAAATAACACTGCCAGTTCTTGTTCAGTGTGGATATAGAGAGATAGACCTCGCCAGGATGACGTCTCATCTGGGACTGCACCAGGAGAGGAGTTTCACCAGCCATGGATCAAGAAAAGCAGTGGTGTATGAGGCACAAAGGGGCCTTCATGTGCTTAGTCAAGTATTGGCAGGAGATTGCTCTCCTTGTCCTTGTTGGAGGGGCTACAGATCAAGGTTTGCAAAAATGTCCCTGGAAAAATCCCCTCCTGTTAAGAGGAAAATCTGTCAGCATAAAAGCCCTCTTTCACCCACCTCATGATGGGTAGAATGGGACAGAGTACTCCTCTGAAAGCCTTTAATAAACCATTACCTCTCCTAAATGATGATAGTAGGACCCTCTCCTACAAAAATGGAGCAACAGATTACTGTCCCCAGGATAACAGAGATGTGGTTGAGATTGCATGGAGGGACATCAGCTACATGGATGACTTTCCCTCCCAAAGCTTCACACCAAGGCCTTTCCAGACACCCTGATTTCCCCAAACTCTGCCTAAACTGCCCATCTACAGTTGTTAACCCATGCCATAAAAGACCTGTTGTGCCCTTGATTCCTACCGCAGACCAGAATTTGCTTCTGATTTTTCTCCTGATTCAGAATACTTTAGAAACAAATCTATAAAAGAGAGGAATTACAGTACCTTTTCAGCAAAGCCTTCTTTCTGAGTATAAAAGTCTGTGCCAATAAACTATGATTTATATGCATGTCATTCTCATGCCCCAAATAGTAGCAATGCCAACATTTTATAGATTTTAACTTTTTTATGATCCCTGGACAATCAATGCTTTGTTCAAAAGGTTTTCATAAACAAGATGGAATTTACATCAGTGACTACTTCTAATAACCACTGAACTGACTTCAGAACAAGGGAATTTTTTGAAAGTAAGCAGTAGGAGTTATATAGGCTGGATCGTTTTCATATCATATGACTGAAATTTGTATTTGCTGTTCGAAATGCAATTTTTAAAAAATATTTTATCTTTAGCCTAGCAACCCAGATGGACTGTTCTGGGTAAAACCACAAAGAAAAAATAAAAACAGGTTATTTTTTCGGTATTCACATTCAGAGAGTAACAGTCTCCAAAACCACATTTGAGACAATATAATAAATTTCAAGTAGGACAGTGTCATTGAATTCAAATCAACTGCACTTTAATGTATTGTATAAAGAGAAACCTAGCTTTAATTGGAACACTGGCATACAAAATCACTGTAATCTGTACACTTTAAAATAAAATAAAACAGCAAATGAGAATACCAGAGCTGTTAATAAAAGAAACAAAAATGTTCTTTGCTGATCATCCCAGCTTTGCTTACAAACTATATCCCTTTCTCTGCAATTCTTAGATTTGGGTTTCTGCTTTTTAAGATTTTATACCAAAGTTACGTTTGCATACGAATAGTGAATTGAAGTAACCTGCTCTTATCTTTAAGTATATTACTTTTCCTTGCATCAACTTCAACTTTACTTCAACAAGCAGCTTCTCTTAACAGATAGAAATCTGATCCATGATAAATATCTGTCCACAGGTGAAAAGTTTTATGCTTTGCTCACTCATTTATTGTTACTTGAGCTCACAACCTGTGCCTTTTCTTTATCAGGATTTTGGTGTATGTTAGTTACCATTTCTCAGCTATGACAAGAAACTAAAAGTCCTGATTGTGCAGTACTGTGAAAATTAATAGCTGTGAGTCCATAGCACGAGAAGACTTGTGCCTTGGCATGTGGGCAAGGCTGGGACATCTTTAGATCAGCTCTTTTCTGACAGTGCAAAGTACTCCAGGCACCTAACCTGATTTGTATTATTAACAAGGAGAAGGAGGAGTGAGTAATTGCAAGACAAACAACAGCAGTAATAATTTAATGTCATTGTCACTGTTGGCACTGTGTTTGACCCACTGAAGAATTCGTACATGTAGGTCAGCAGTTTTCACGGGGCTCCCTCGTGTGCTTATATCTTGTTGTAAACAAAGACGTGCATGGCTGCTGTCATGGACAGTTTCAGCGGGCTCCTGTATCAGACCTCTCTTCCTGCAACCATCACTCCCTGTACCAGCAAGTCTGTCTGTCCCTCTGCCCTCAGGCACCCCGTCATGGGTCTGCTATTTCTCCTGCATGAATGGCTAGTAACTGCTAATTGCTTCAGAATCTCTT